TACGGAGCAATAGGGTTGAAATGGGAAGAGCCCAGACCGGGTCGAGAGAGACGACCTGTAGCGAGCCGAAACCGAGAAAAACAGAAGGCATTTGTTGAAAGCGCAAGAAATCAAATGAGTGCGCTGGTACTGGAGCTTTCAGGACTAACGCAAAGCAGAGTGATGCAGCCACGACTAAGTTGCGAGCTATCGTATGAATCCTAGCCGAGCAGAATCGGATGGAGAGAAATGGAAACACGCGGTACATATACAACAATTATTAGGCTTCACAGACTGGCTAGGCTCGTCGATGTGTCGCGACCGAACTCCAGTCACTGTGATGTGTCGTGAGAAGGAAACACAACGCATACATTTTCGCCTGTGTGAGTAGTCAGACTGATTGTTGTCGCGTCAATAAAGATTGTGCTTCATTGCCGCGTCGTTCTGCTTCAAATGAACCGCTAGGGCGAAAACCCACACCTATAGAAAAATCATTTCAAAAGCGGCGATAAGAGGGCCACATCGATGATTCTGCGGCATTCAACAGCACAATGAAGCAATGGTCCACAGCAATCCCATGGAGAGAAACTTGGATACAAGCCGTCACTTGAGAAGTTTAGTACCTAGGTAGTTCAGGAATAATCCCTGCTTTGACGCCCACTTATCTCCGAGATAATTCGAAATGCACTTGTTCCCTGCTCCAAGACAGCGTATGTTCAGTTAATCAGCGGTTAGCGGACAACGCAGTTCCGCAGCCTAGAACATGATGATTGAACCCGGAGTTGGAAACGTGTGACCCAAAGAATGAAACTCACGCTTTTCACACAGCGTCAAAAAGAGGAATTTTGCTTTCAGTGAAAATGAAAGTCTGGTGTTCCGCCATGTTCTGCGAAATGAACAGCGGCGAGCCACAGCTCACTGAGGATGATGAACAAAACACTGGATATCCATGACAGTGACTGTCCCAGTGATCGTATTGGCAGAGGTCGACTTGAAAATCAACCAAGGCCACAAATGAAATTGCGTGTAGCAATCCAAAACATACGGAGGGTGCCCGAAAATCAAAAACATTGGATACGGTTAGTAGTTGTTGTGTTGCTTATCCCATTTGCCCCTATTTTTCTCATTAGTTCCCTGCCGCATTATCTCAAAATTGCCCAACTGCAACTTCAGTTTGCCTCTCACCGCTATACTTGCCGATATTCTTCGGCGTACAGGAATCGGATTCAGATTCACTCCGTCTCTGTGCACTGGATGTGCCGAACCGACCAAAAGTTTGAAGGACCTGATGATTATTAGAAGAGTAGGATTGAAGCTCTACACAAATTCATGAACCTCTCAATTAATCAAAGGAATTAGAAACTGATCATTTAATGAAGTTTACGGCAGGCAACACCCAATCTATCCATATGCTTCATCAGTTATGGTCCCACTGTTCGAATTGACCCAGGTTCACTGCAATGCGCTTTGCAATCCATTCACGTAGCGAGTGCTTCAGAATGAGCCCTCTAAACAACGAAACTGTCTACCCTGTGAAATCTGATCCTTGATAACGGGATCGCTCCGCAACATGTACTTTCCGAGCACACAGAACTATTTTGCACAATTTCCCCTCCTAAAGATAATGAGTGCCACATTTGACTACGTGCCTGATTCACTGCCTTTGTTGCGGTACTCAATTAAGTTTATGATCCTGAGTTCCGGTTAGTCGAAGGACTAAAAGATAAATTATCACTTTTTAGCTAGCGCACAATGCCATGGAACGATGGCAGCCCAATCAGAAAAATAACAGCTCAGGAGGTCACCCTAGTCGTATGCATGTTGGTAATGTGTATGATGGTGTAGGATCGTGGTCTTATCATAGCGCAGCTGGCTACTTGGTTACAGCTGCTGCCGTCCATCATCGTGCACTAGTGGTCTTAACCGCAAACTTATAAGGGTAGGTTCGTGGTTTCTAGACCCTCATCTAACATACGGAATGCCTACTTTTGACGATTTCCGAAACTAAGGGATATCCACTTAGAGCTTTTCTGTATAGCCAGTGGCTGAGTGAATGATAGTCGGCTTGACGAGTGTTCTTCTAAAACGGATTAGTGATTCAATGGAAACACGCGGGTGAATTATCCATCGTGTATATCTTTGGCTTGGACCAGCATTAATTTAGTCCTTGTGCTCTACCTGCGCAAGCTAACATACAGGTGATTGTGGTAAAGAATACGTGGGCCGCTGTTCGATAGTAACAGGTAGATAGCTCACCTCCCTTTATCAATCGAACAGACATAGTAGGTGCATGAAGTTATGTTTTTTCGAAACGTCCCAAGCTGATCACTGTATTCCAGCACAACCAAGGATGTTTTCTAGCACTGAACAATCTAGGGGCTAATTTAATTGTTTCAGCTGGTTGCTTCGTATACCGATATTTATACCATGTTGGTCAATGTATGAGCATGGGTGCTTAACTGTTTCTATCAGAGGTACGTTGGTAAACAACGAAATAACATCTAGGGAAAACATCCGATGTTATTGGACATTCATATCTCTAATTTCGTTGATGAACTGAAATGTATCTGCCAGTCTGTGAGGAGCAATCATTTGCCTGATGGGATTCAGCATTTTTGTCAGCCACTGCGCAATGTTGTGGTACGGTGAATTCCTCATATCTAGTATGGGTCTCAATGGTGTGTCAGGTTTATGTATTTTTGGGAGACCATAAAGGCGAGGAGTAGTGGAGCTTGTGGGACGAAGTCGGTCGTACCTTTCTTTGGTGATGGCGCTGTCGTTCACTAGTGATTTCAAACAGTTGATCAATTGATTTTCTACAGCTTCTGTTTTATCTTTCTGTTGTTCACATTTCACGAAACGTGAAGTGTCCGAGAGTATCATTTTCATTTTCTTGATGTAATCCGCACGATCCATCAGCACAGTCCCAGATCCTTTGTCTGGTTTGGTTATGATGAGATCTTCGTTTTTCTGAAGTTCTCTCAAAGCACCAAAGTGCGCAGTGGCTGACAAAAATGCTGAATCCCATCAGGCAAATGATTGCTCCTCACAGACTGGCAGATACATTTCAGTTCATCAACGAAAGTAGAGATATGAATGTCCAAGAACATCGGATGTTTTCCTTAAATGTTGTTTCGTTGTTTACCAATGTACCTCTGATAGAAACAGTTAACTACCTGTGCTCATACATTGGCTAATTTAAGTATCCAAAGCGAACGTTATCCTACCGCTCAATGAACACCCACTCTGTGGCTCTGTACATCCATATAAAGTCGATAATGAGAGTGATAAACTTAGCGATGACGTCACCAACATCACATGTTGATCATAGTAGTTTACTTCTCAGGACGGAACAACCCAGCTATTTTCAAGAGCAGTGAGATTTGATTACGTACTAGGGAGTAAAAGCTCACGCTAAAATCCGTTAACATCCGGTAGTATGCGCTTATGATACTTCCACGACACAGGAGTTAAATAAATATTTTTTCAGCATATAGAGGTCCTGTCCTCATGGACTGTAATGCATGTAAATGAAACACGGTCTGACGTACGTTGTTTGTATTTCAATGACTGTGAGTGCAGATACTTTCAAAACAACGTTTATAAGTAATGCGGCTTCCCATGCTCACTTGAATAATCAGGTGACGAAGGTGATAAACCATTTTCTGTAAATACCTGCTTAGGACCTAGTCGCAATGACTACATGGATTCTGTACATTTTTGGGAAGCGAGAGGTGGCCATGAATTGAACGGCAGTCCAGTTCAAACCTCTAGCTGCATGTACTTGTTGACTAGCTCCGGAATCCCCGCCAAATGGGCGTTTCGTGTAATAGTGAAACACTACGAGTATGCCGATTATATGTGAGAGTATGTGAGCAGAATGTCCTCATTAAAATATCGAATCGGTTCAGTTCATAGAGACATAAGTAACGCAACAATGATCCGCTCAGTTAGTTTGCTGAGCACTTTGGGTTTCGGAAGTGTATAACAATAGAATGCACAAAGCGAAACCGGTGACATAAGCCGAATCCGGAGGAGAAACATGACATCACACAGAGTACATGAGCATATCAGTTGTTCAGGGCTGAGTAAAGTGTTGGCGAGAATTGGGTCGAGTTGTCTAAATGCATATGTTTAGTCAGTAGTTCCTCTCAGCAAAGTTAGTCAAACATGGTCCGAGCATCAAAGCGTGGTGTGCCCAGTAACGAAGATTGGCATTGCCGTAAGCACAAAATCAACAATGTGCGAACTTGGACAGACGGAGGAATGGATTCAATACAGAAAAAACAAAGAATGTGAACGGGAAACAGCTGCGGAGAAAGAAACGACAGGATGGATAAATGAGAGAGCGACACCGGCTTTTCTGCTGTGCATGCAGGAAAGTGAGGCTAGTTATCGCTGTGATAGTCCCCAGACGCTAGGATGCAGCAGAGCAGGAGTAAAGGTTGTTCAATTTATCCGTGATTTCGTGTCATAGTCATCAATCCTGAAACTTCACTTAACGAGGTGTAGCAATGATATACATTACACACCGCGACAGGTAGCCTACATAAGCTAGAAGGAATTTTTCCAGTCAGAGTAAACGGTTGCTATACGAATCAGTTTCTGTGCCTTGCCAGGAGTTTGTCACAAGAAACCAAGTAATACGCAAAGTATTGTTAATTCTAATGTCACATCAAATACGAGTGCAGTTTCAGGGCATCCACTTCCCTCAATAAGCAGGAGTCGTGTCTGATTCATGCAATGAGATTGGGCATAAAGCAGTCTCGAACAATATAGTTATCATTTGATCACGAATTCTAACGCTGATTTCGAAGTGATGAGTGGGTAAGTTTTTCTTAGTCGGAGAGGTAACGGTAGAAAGTTTCAACACCTTGAAATAGATTCATTGGACCTGGGTTCGATTCCCTGTCTAGGCAGATTATTGGGTGGAGTTTAATCGTGACTTCTACATTTTACGAACCTTACGCTACTCACAAAAAACATCCTTCAAATAGATTTTTGTCTGATCTGTTGCTCACCATATTGTCCTCAACGGTGGATTCCATTGTGCACGATAAACTCCTGTTCTCCAAGTTAGCCCATAGTAAGGTGGGGGAAGCAACGGGTTTTGGGCGCTCTCCTGCTTGTTCTAGCACTGGAATTACTGCATTCGTCTTTGCCGGAATCTCATTCTCTTTCAATCTGTTGTGTGAAGTGAAAGCAGATGCAGCAGTTGTGAAGTAGTCCGCTTGACAGACAGAGGTAAGCCTTATCATTGAGTTCAACCGAGGCAGTTAACCGACGCAAAGGTAGAGAGGACCTCATTGACGTAAAGCAAACCAGTGCAGGGTTGCAAACTGACCATTTTCAACCGCCCGAAGAGACGGGGGCAATCTAGATACGTGCGGTAAGTTTGTTGCTAGCACGAGCAAACAAAAAGTAGCATTGAACTTAATTGGAGGGTCAATTTTGGACTACGCGTTATGTGATTGGATTGCGACGCGCAATCTCAGTGTGGACCACGATTCACATTGAAGTGTACCTTGGTCACTGTGATCACTGGGACCGTAGCGGAAGCAGATGGAAATTGGGTGTTGTCTGCCCGAAAACACTGCATAACAACGAAGCGCCTCGATATCATTTTATCTCATCAGGTGAAGATAGCAGGCCTCGAACCCACAAACATTCGAATAGTATCCGAGAGCTCTACGTCTTTAGGTACCGGGTCACGATGGGCAGCGCTTGGCACAACGGTTACTGACTAAGTGGTGTACTGTCCAACTTTGCAAAATGACACTGACTGTCCTTAAGTGGATGCAGATTGGTGTTCCGCCTTTAGCTTGTGTCAAGTAGACAGCAGTTTTGTGTAGGAAACATAAGCATTATTAGAATGTCTCTCGGTTAGTACATTAAAAATGATCCCGAAGAAATGTGTGTGTGGAGGGAGTGGGGAAATCAATTGGTTTAACTGATGGGAGTCACTTTTGGACATAAGTAGACAACCGTCACATTTGTGAGAAATCCAGTGGTATTCACCGACAGTCTTCATTGCCACATGCCAGATAATGAAATGAACAACTTATTGTTGTGAGATTCCAAATAAAATCATCGACCATAATGGATTCTGACATCGTATATCCGGTTATTCATGATGCAAGGTCGTAAATTATGCCATTGTACTCAGTTTTCGGTATAACGTATAGTACTTATTTCAAAATAGTAGTAGGATATTTCTTCGGTTTTCTGGAACGGACCGGACAGCAGTCCCTATTGTGTTTGAGGTGGTTTAATCCTTGAGTTCTGAATTACTTTACCTATAGCTCGACATGAACCACAAAAGCTTCGTTTACACACTGTATATCAAAGTATCGGAATTCTGGTCCTTACTTACTTTCTGATAAAAGGTTATTGTATGTATCCTCGCGAGTACCTGCAGTAGTAACGCTTGCTCTAAAGCAGTACTACGACCAAAACAGAGTGGCACTTATTAGTACGGCCAGGACACAGAGGATAAACTGGCTTTACGACACGCTCACCTACAGGACACCACAAACTGCGGAAAACTCCACATTGTAGTGGCAGTTTTGGTGGCAAGTGTTTTCTAAATCACATCGATAATCTTAATGAATTATTCCAACTCAAGCACCTCATTACCAAACGGCCATGCGACTTCGTTTAGACAGTCAAAAGAAGTAACTCTTGTAATCGGTGCTAATCGACTTTATGGGGTTGTCCCATACGTCGTATACGTGCATAGCAAGCGCGCAACATCGCAAGTTTGGGGTTTATTTTATCCCATGTGTCAGGCTAAACTACGTTTAACGTGAATGTTCACAGGTTGTCCGCTCGCTGTATGCCATCACACTACTTACTTGTTGCAGGAACCTGCTGATCTTCGTTGCAGGAGGCGGAGTGGGAAGTTTCATGGAAGTGTTATACTCACCGAATGGCCTCAGTATGCAACCGTTGTCCTGCTTACCTATGGTACGCATATTTTTCACAAACGTATAGCAATTATATACTAGCTGAAGTTGTGTGGGTCAGGTTCGAAACAATCCTCGCTTTTATCCGGACGGATTCAAATCATAGTTTCTTGAGTTTAAGCTGGGCATGGGGTGTGTGAATCGAGTAATGGGTGGTGCCGCGCAAGTCTTTCATGACTCAGAGCACACATGACCAGGGAAATCAGGAAACGGATGCTGACAACCGTTCAAGGGAAATCTTAAAGTACTGATTTAGTCGGTGTTTCATTTCAAGCACGTGTTAAGCTCGGTAACGTTGCACGAATTAAACATATTCTTGTCGCTTAGAAAGACAAATGTAGTTGACATTCTTATCTAAGAGTTATGATAGACCACCAGTATCAAATAATTAAGGCGTAATCGGATGAAAACAACAAGAAAATAATCGCTTTGCACACTGGATAAGAGGTCAGAAAATAGAGGATGCTGCGCCTAGTACAATAGATGAAATCAAAAGAATGAGAAAAAGGGGAGCGACTTCAACAGTAATGTGGCGAAAGTTTGTGTGTGGCAATTAAAAATTTCACCAACGCTTACGTTAACCTTACCTGCAGGAGAAAAGATGAACAGTGTTTGTGGGGGAATACTTTGACTAATCGATATAAGCCCTACTCCGACCAACATGTACATTCGCCAATCTAAGCGTCCGTTGATCTCTCGTGTATTAATCACGTCAGTTCGGTACATTTCAGACACATGGAGATAACCAGCCAGTTTGCAGTGTCCCGCCAAAAGAGGTGGTTAAATAGTAGGTCGCTGTCAAGCATGATTAACGGAAATTAGCAAATCTCCGAAGCCTGAGCAGAAACACGCCGTTTATTTTAAACCACGCTCTGGGAAACTCACTCACCTTGATCGGGCTATTCGTTCCTTCTCAGTCTCCATTTCTTTCCTAATGCGCACCATCTCACTCTGAATCAACTCTTCTTCCCGCTTCAGCTGCCGTCGTCTTTCGGCTTCCTCCTACACAGTGAAAGAAACTAAATTACTGATGACAGAGATGTTTCTATAGTAAAGGACATGAAAATGTAGTATAAGATGATTGATTATTTTACCTCATTCCCCATTTGGAGTCGAACTATCGGCTGACATAACAGCTAACTAAATGACGTCGAATAGTGTCGACAAATTGTGGTTTGAAAGTCCCGCCATCGAATTCAGACAGAAATGCAGAAGCTCACACAAAGAAGAACCTCAAACCTAAATCTACAGTCACGAGTTTGTGCACGTAACACTTGTCTACCCTTGGGAAGCGGCTCAGAAGTCTGTCAATTTCCTGCCATGTGCCCCCTCTCCCGTACGCATGAATAGACAAAAGCTCATTTGATTTCATATGAGGGAGAAGAAAACTGACAAACAGCCGCAGTAGGCTCCAGTACCCATTCCGGTACAAAACCAACTTGAACTAAGGCTGTAATACTTATGTACTTATGTAGTAATCGTTCTTTGACATGTCAATGACTGCCAGATTGTTAGCTTTGTGCTTGAAGTATATGTTGAGATTAAATTTCCAAAGGAATCATCCCGTACTATTGACAATTCTACCCTGGTTACAGTACTGCTGCTCCCGTGTAGCGACAGCGCATAATCACAGACACAGTCGGAGTATAAGCAGACGTTATCTGTGAGATAAGGATGCTAAAACTTTAGTTCGGATATCATCCATTTACAATATTCCATGGGGCATCACTCACCAAATCCAAAAGCTGCTGAGACGTGTTTACGAGGAATATGTGGAAATTGTGCTAACCTCACTGTCATCGTCGATTGTCCAAATACGTTGGACAAAGCTGTCCTGCCTGTGTTGGATAGCATTTGTCGCCAATCGGAGAGTCTGTTACGCGCTGCTAGAGCACTTAGCAATGAAAGAGTTTGATTGGTATGTTTGATTCAAGCCGAAGCGAGAACTGTGCGAGCGCCTAGGCTGTAGATGCGTCAGCAAGCAAACAAAAATAAATAGCAACAGTTTGTGGTGAGTTGAACGCTAATGGATTCTACAACCCTCTCAGCTTATCACTAGGTCGAATGAGCCCGACAAAGTACATTCCGCTAGACTATCTGCTTCTTCCGTTATTATAAAGTATTCACATGTGTGAAGCAACCGGCATTTTCCATCTGAACTTAGCTCCTCTTAAACTACTCACAGATGAAAAAAGTTGAGCTGCTCAGAAGTTCTGTTCAGAATGTCTCGACGAGACTGAGTATGAGCAAGAGATAACAGTCCTAAACTAGGCTGCCATTCTCTGGGATGCCTCAAGAAATCGGATAAATAAAGCCGTGTTACTTGAGTAAGTCTGATACACTACGCCTATGGCCGATTGGTGCGAGTTATCTGCCTCTGTAATCCGAAAGGCACCTGTTCGGATCTTCGAAGACGCGTGTGAACTCGCAGTATCCCTAACCTACTCGCCGATGTTGGTGATTGTGTGGCAGTAAAGAATTTGTAATTAGCGCTAAGTACATATGATATAACTTCGTCTGGTGATGAAACGTTTGTGTTCTGAGTACCAAGCTTGGCTAGTACATGAACACCTGAACAGTTAACCCGAACTAGCCGTGTTTCTAGGAATTGCAAATACTAATGCCTTTCTTTATAAGAGAAGCCACGACTCTATTGGCTAACCATAGACTCCACCAACGTACATGACGATAGTGAATGAGCCGTAGTATATCGCATTTATCTTGCAAGTTATTACGAGCTGCCGCATTCACCCATGGCGTAATGACACAATCCTGCGACGTCCAGAAGGTCGTGAGTCCAGCTCTTGGTGTAGCTGGGGTAGGCATACTACTTACGAGTCTTGGTAGGACGAAACGGGTGTCCAGTGTATTTCCAGAATCTTTGAGTTGCTGTCTAACCTATTGCTACGGCGAAAAATACGCGGCGAAAAAAGTAAAATGTCAGTCGTAACGCCTAACAATCATATTCATAAATCCCTTATTGCGTGCTTTAGTTACGCTAGGCAACCGTAAGTTTAACTGTGATTTACCTCCAGGTGAGCCTCGGTCAGTTTAAGCACTGACACAGAATCAGAATTTCGGACACGTGCTCTTGCTAGCATTCAAAGTTGCACACCACAACCTGTGTGGGGTTTGTTTACAACATTCCGGTATAGATATGGGGAGCTGCGATGGGAACACAACAAGCAGGAATTGTCCCCAGATGTCTTATTCACTGTGCTTCGCAGTCAACGTTCCTCACCCGATACCTAACTGTGACCACAAGAGTCGCCTGCGGATCTGAATGGAGTGATAGTCCGAGGCTCAGCTCCAGTTGTCTTCACTTGAAGAGAACAAATAGTGAAAACGATTGTATGAGCAGAACAGCTGCGAGGAGGACTCAATCAACTCCCAGCTCACCATTAGTGAATGCGCATGCAGCCAGCTTTTGCATATATATGGTAGGCGGCATCCGGTTATGAATTGCCTGTCACTATGGCGTCCATGAGGACAGCCACGGGACGCCTGCGCCTACAAAGGAACCATGGGTGGCTTGAACTACACCACCCACAGCTCCATCCACACACCCCATATCCAGTGTAAACTCGAAGGAATAAGACCGGGAGGCATGTGGATGGAAGCTACGTGTCATCAACGGAGCCGTCCCACACTCATTGACAGGCAAATACGAGGACGCTGTATTTGGGGACTAAAGCACACACATGACAGTAGCTGGACCGTAGTCCGCTCCACACTGAGTGCATGGAACCACTCTTCGAGCCTAGCGTGGCAACGAGTACCGTGCACTCCAACCCTTACAGCAACGAGCAATTGTCTCCTGGATCCAGTATAGACGACGTAGTGGGTAATAAACAAACAAGCACCTTGTCAACATGCACATCAAACACAGCCACACCGGGGATGTCGAGCAACAGAAAGCCACTCGCAATTACAATGTCAAATAAAATATATTGAATAAGGCATACCGATATGCTGACATAACTGTTCGTTAAATGAGCAAATGAAGTAAACTGGTAATCATCATCGCTGCGATAAGTACAAAAAACAAAAAGATATTGAGAAATGTCACAAACATGAAAAGGTTAACGATTTTAACCACAATTAGCTTAGGTGACGTATGCAAGTTAATTGCTTATTCAGGTCGGCATCATAATGAGGTAAAAAAGCATTAGAAGAAGATAGCAAACCAACTATTTGAACTAAAAAACTCAACATGCGAACTCGCGGTTAGTGAATCAAATAGAAGCGCTTGCAGCCTACCTACCAATGCTGCGCTGGTTCTGCTTATGTGCTCAGCAGCACCGGTCGTCGTTTACATACTGGTAACTAGTGGCCTCACTCGTGGCTCACTAGACCTGCCTGACTCATGCACTCGCAACCGCAAGTGGTCAAACGCCATGCGCTCGACGTCGCTGGAGTACACACCAGCGGCATCTGACGCTTCTGCAACTACCGCTTCTTCTCCGCACATACAAGGGCTTTCTCTTGCACCTCGGCAACTGCCTTCGTGATCAGATCGCACCTTCGATTCCCAACACCTGAAATCAACATTAGAACATGATAGGCTCAACTTGGTCATGTCCGCGTAAGGTAACTTCGGTTTTACCACATACCGCTTTCCTGCACGCAGTTGGCCACAAAGCAGCTGTTTTGGTATAAGGGTCGAATCCATGCGGCGAATATGCCCGAGCCACCACAGGTGCTTCAGCGGAATTACGCAGTCCACTGCATACATGCCACTGCGTTGGAGCACCTCTGAGTCTGCAACTTGGTCACTCCAGCCGATGCGCATAATACGGCGCAGATACTGCTGATAGAAGCGCTCCAGATAACGGACATCCTTCCGATAAAGCGTTCAGGTTTCGCTACCGTATAGAAGAACGAACAGCAACATAGACTTGTATATCAGCAGCTTCGTCCCAACAGTGAGCCGGTGGTTGTTCTACACAGGACATTCCAGCTTGCGAAATACAGTAGCCGCCTCCGAAACGCGGCTGCTCAGTTCACTCATGAGCTGTAGGTCGGTTGATATAACGCTCTCAAGGTAGCAAAATATGGGCGTGGTTTCCAACACTTCGTCGGAAACCTGGATTCGGGGCATGCCAACAGATTCCATTCCGGGTGAAGGCTGCAAAAACAAATAGTTTTGCTTGTGTTGATGGTGAGCTGGAATTTGGCAGTTGTCGTAGCGAGAGCACTATTCATGTGCTGCAACTCATCCGCGCCGTGCGCAAACAACGCACAGTCGTCAGTGAACAGCAACATTCGGATAGTTGTCTCAATCACTCGGGTATATATATGGTTGGCGGCATCCAGTTCCGGATTTGTCTGTCACTGTGGCCAGCACAGGACGTCTGCACCTACAAAGGGATCACAGGTGGCTTGCGCTGCACCATCCACAGCTCCATCCACATACCCCATATCCAGTGTAAACCCGAAGGAATAAGACCGGGAGGCATGTGGATGGAAGCTACGTGTCATCAACGGGGCCAGCCCACACTACTTCACAGGAAAATACAAGCAGGCTGCATTTGGGAAACAGTCGCACACAAGACGACTGCCGGATCGTAGTCCGCTCCACACTGAGTGCATGGAACAACTATTCGAGCCTAGCACTGCCACAAGGACCGTGCACCCCGTCCACTCCAGCAACGACCAACTGTCTCCTAGAGCCAGTATGGACGAGATAGTAAGTAATAGACAGGTAGGCACCTTGTCAACATGCTCAGCAAGCGCAGCCCCACCGGGGATATCAAGCAACGGCCAGTCACTTGAAACAACAAGATGAAATAATATAAATCGGTTAATGCATGCAGATACGGAGACATAACTTCAATAAATGGGCGTATGAAATAAATTGGTTACGAAAATATCCGCGATAAGTTCGACGTCAGAGAATATATTTTTAGAAAATGCCACAAACACGAAAATGTTATCGAAGTTAACTACAATTAGCTTAAGCGACGTGTGCAATTTGATAGAAGCTAGTTCAGGTAGACAATAATGAGATAGAAAGGCATTAGGACAATATAGCGAACCCGTCACCTGAAATAGAGAATCAGCACAAAAACACAAGGTTAGTAAATCTAATGCAGCGTACCTACAAATGCTGCGCCGGTTCTGCCTACGCTCTCAGTATGACTCGTCGTCGTTTCGGTCTTGGCCCCGAGTAGCCTCGCTCATGCCTCACTAGGCCTACCCGACTCAAGCACTCGCGACCGCATGTGCTTCAACAAACATATATATATATATATATATATATATATATAAGCACCAGAAAAACCTGCAGTGTCACGAAGAAAAGCGCCCTTCAGGGAAGCGACAGACACCGGTGGAACCTAGCCCATCGTCGTCATGCAAATGTTATTGTAATACATGAGGTCGTGTGTGCCTCAGCCAAGCCGGTCTCGTAAGCCATCTGCTTGGCCAAGAGGGGTCAAAATGAAACAGACAAATGGAATGTTGAATAGATGGGTATCAGAGCTTAGTAGGTACCCTGCTTCCGTTTCCATTTACTAACCTAGACCACTTCCGCGGTCGATGTGACACATGTGTTTTGGTATGGCTACAGTTGGGCTGTATGTACGCCAGCGTGTTTATTTTCTTGTATTTTAAGTACCTGCTGATGGACATCATCAGTGCTGCTGTGCTTGGTGTGAATTTTAGCAAGGTGCCTACATGCCGAAAACCATCCATCTCGATTAGTCGTTTCAGGAGACTATTACTCGTTGCTGGGGAAGGCGGGAAGCACAATCCTCGTGACGTTGCTAGACTCAAAGAATAGTTTCACCCATTGTGCAACGGCTCAGACACCGTCCTGTGTATGTCGCGTATGCGTGTTTCCCTCTGTTCAAATGAATGATGTGCATAGTTGAAGCAGTATGGGCCGGCTCTGAATCAGTTGCGGCTCCTATGCACATGCATGCCATCATTATTCCTTCTGGTTTACACCTGATTTGGGGTGTGTGGACGGGACTGTGGGTGGTGCGGCACAAATCACCATTGGTCCTTCTGTATAAGCAGGCACAGTGACAGGTAAATACGAAACCGGAGGCTGCCAACCGTGTACACGTGAGCAAATTTCATCAGTTGTAGTTAAGGAATACTGATGAATCTCTAACGCGGAATTTAAGCCGGTTGATAACTCCGTGCCGGTACGTACCTTTCCGTTTCCTTGCCTCACTATAACGATAGGTGTTGCCAAAGCTGAATAATGAACGCGTTCGGTTATATCTGCTGATTGCAGCCGATTTAGTTCAGCTTCTAATATCGTCTAAGTAGCCTACGGCACTGGAAGTTTTGGTCTGCAAACTGTGCTTTGTATCAGCTATTAGACAGCATCTGAGACCGCGTTTGAAGCGTGCTTTGTAGCGACGCTCCTGCTTTGCAGTTTGATTGTAGAAATTATGGTTCGTCATTGGAGTCGGTACAAGTCGCTTAAACTGCGAATGCTGGCACACACTTTTGGTTAACTGGTGGAGCCAGTTCAACTCATCCAACCAATCAAGGCCCAGCAGATTCAATCCAGGCTGGTCTGTCACAGGGCTGGGCTTATAAGCATGAGTTCCGTTCAAGCCGATAACTATGAAAGTATCAAATAAACATTTATGACGAGTCATTCTAGGACGGAGCAGTCATATAGATGTCTACCGGATGTTTGTTGGTTGCGTAACCAAGCTGGACTGCGACGAAGCTTACAAAAACAAAAAAATATGCAACGAAAACTCGCTAATAATCGTATTATGCTATTATTTGGCTTCTGGACCAGAATTACATGGTAACGCGAAATACTGCAAACTAATAAACTTTAGAGACTGCAATAGACAGTTATCTGAACTAGTTTTGGTTGACTGTTGTACGCTCAGCCGCTACCTTATATAACAAGGACTAATTACATCTGAGCTACCCCTGAATTTGCTGAAATTCTATTGGTTACCAGTGTGGTGATGATGACGAATAAACTTACTTGTTTAATGAGTGCAAGCGCTTCTCGCGCCGCTTCACGCCTAACCGAGGTATCCTGTCTTTGTTTTTCACATTCCGCCTTTCGCATGACTCGACGAATGCGAGCCTCTTCTTGGCGCACCAAGATCCGATGTAATGTGTCCCCTGTGGATGCTTGTTTCTCAAAAACGTTCTCTTTGTTGGTTTTGATGTTTCGTGAGCTGTTGTCTACCCGCTGCATCCTGTTTCCATTGGCTGATGTCAAGTTCTTCTCTGTTAAGTAATTCAGCTATGAAGGGAAAGGTATCACCAATGTTCCTTATACAGACCGACTGTAAAATGCTGAAAGCACATCGAGCTCAAAAGCCTCAGTTGTTGGTAGTAATTCAACATTTGTATCATAATATAATTGTGACTACGCGCAGTAAGTTAACGCATAGAGTAGGCTGCTGCGTGCTTGTGTTTCACCAACCCGCATTCTAATCAAAGCAAGCCAAGTAAAATACGATCTCGAAGGAACTGATTTGGAAAGCATGCGTAAATGAACCACAGTTGGTTAGGAGTCGGTTGACATTCCATTATGTACATGCCATCTGCCGGTAAATAGAACAAGTGACAACCTCAGAAACGCTAGAAGCAGTATTTTACCGACTGGCATATGAATACAATGTTTGAACAGTGGACTGGGGTCGAGTCGGCACTTGATAAACACTTAGCAGTGCAAAGTCACAGAACAATTATGACAGCTGTGGGCGCAGTGGTGCTTTTGTCTTATCCAATTATGAGTTTGTCTTCAAGCTCCATGTGTCGCTTAAGATCGTGCCCGCTGGTGATTAGGTATCTCTAGGAGCCAGCTCTATAGATGACGGTATGTAACCAGGAGACATGCTGTTCATTTAGGATATGATAGGTAGGAACAAAAATTCAGTCCCGTTCATGCAAATTTATCAAAACTGCAAACAGATTAGCTAAAGAAAGAACACAAGCAACGTGATAAGAAAAACGGTTTCCTTGGTCAAATTTATTCAGGTATGCAGACAGCGACCACGATAGCTACTTGCTTTAGAAATAGAATAGGTTATCAAGGTTGCAAGCCAGATTAAATAGGGTAATCCAGAAAATTAGAGACTAACGTGGTAAATCTAGGTATACACACTGATAAGCTTAAAACAGACAGGTAGTAGCCGATTTTGAAACGATTGTCAACACAGTAGAAGTATCGGGAACGCGCACAGCACAGTTCGGGCTAGAACAACGCTAGTATTTGCATAAAGAGAGAAAATGTATGCACTGTAAAGAACCTCACCTACGGCTTCAATCAACCGTGACCTACATGTGGCATAACCCATTCTGCTAGATGACGTGTCCAATCAAAGGTTTAGCATAAGCAAACATGCTTCTGACAAGCAGTCTTGCACACTTATAAGTTAGAAAAACATTAACCGGCGCACCAGAAGGGCATGTAGAATACGTTTAGTTGTCAATAAACATTGGTAGTCATTGTCAATAGGGTTACGGCATCAGCCTGTACATGATTCCGTGGGCTAGACGTTGCACTTTGATTGCGCCGAGTCAAACCTAATGTGTGAGTGAACCTTTATCAAACGCACCATTCCGATTCGTACGGCCGGATCATGATTCTTTTATCGGATTCAAGTAACTGTCTGCAAGTGCATCACAATCGACTGTCAGACTATGTATGAGTTGGTTGATTTTCTAAACCTAGCCACGAGACAAGCCACATGGCTTTCCGACGATCTTTCGGACAGGAAGTTTGTCGTAGGACCAAGGTAACGTTCCACAGAAGAGAGGCAACGATCGAATTAACCTCGATTTTGTGTAGACAGGTCTTTAATCATTTGGGTTCCTTTCTACAAAAGACTACTGGTGAACAGAGTCTGCTGCTTGGAAAATATACATGAGTTTGTGACAAAGACGATGAGTCAAAAGTTTCGAAACAATTTTATCCAAGTTATTTAGGTCTGGAATCATAACTTATTTCAACTGCAAGGGTTAAAATAGCTTTATTCCTCTGTTTCATCCTGGCCTTAATGAAATTATCTAGGTGTATGTTTTCCCATTGTCAAGCGTATGTGCTGCAGTGCTACGGAAGACGTGTTTTTCGAAGAAATATTTCAAGCTCTGCTCATAAGATTGAGAATCAGGCTAAGTCTTGACCCAGACTGCACGAAGCTGCGGATAGTCGTGTAGTGCTCAGGTCAAGTACGTTCTCTATATACGTAGCGCTATAGCTCACCACTATGGAGTCACCTAATGAATACGTTGAAGGAGTGGAAAGAAGGATGTTACACCACTTTGGAGATACACTTTAACGCTTTGTGAAGCTAACTGAACACTTTGGGGGATTCCTCGAGCTTTCCAGGGGAATGAAGTGCGGTTAACACCTCACTGACTTAAGGGCGACAAAGGTCAAGTCCCGCGATGATCGAGCCTGCCCTGTTCCAACATGTCACTGAACATATCACTTGTGTGCATTGGTGTATTGGAAGCCAAAGGCAAAAAAGCTTTCAGTGCTATAACAGGCCCTGAATAGATAGAGGCCCCACAGACTAAGTTTCGTGATTATATGAGCTATTCTGGTAACGTAACCGCGTCGGAGCATCGAACTAGATATATAATAGTTATCTCTGCACCGGATTCAGTCCTAGCGACCGAAATGATCAAAGTTCGCTTTCAAGTTAATCCTCGTGAAAATGGAACTGCAGATCATGTTCAAAAGCACCGGAGGTGTGCAATGACCAAAACAAATTCTTAATCGGGATAACGAACATCATTGTCGTATTCCCATGTGTATTGTTGTAATGTAGTTGGTTAGCAAGAATTGATTGTAGCTGGCGTTAGTAGATATGAAAACAGTTGGTCAACATCTATGCATTTAACGATGTTTAAGGCGTTTAGAAAGGCCGTGTGGATTACTTTGGATGTTATACACACCCTAATAGTTGAACAGGCGCTAAGCTTTAACTGAAAGTCAGAAAACTCAAAACGATTTGTTATTTATAGAGGCATCAAGTTTTGGCGCTTCACCATTCATACCGATTGCAATTGGTTCTTCATAACTTTCCTCGCAATGCCGCTAGCCAACCTCAACCAAATATATACCGTTCGGCCCTTGTCACCATACTGCTGGACCAAAATTATGTGTACCTCATAGATAGTTACGCACGACCTATGCCAGTTTATATCATTTGTTTGCTGACGATCCGAGCCCATAAGTTCGTGATTACTTGCTTATAGAGCTGGCTGACTCTCTGTTGATATTTGCTTTGCTACTTTCAGACGACCCGGAGTCTGTTTGATCTCTCCGTATGTACAACTGTCACCACACGAATGGTTCAGGCTTGGCTCGGCCTGGTACTATAGGGACAGTCAGTTGTTATAAAAGCTATTGAAGCCGATTGGCTTGAAAATTAGCGAATGAAGAGTTCATGCAGGCCAGTGGGAGAAAAGTAGATATTAAAGGAGTAAAGCAAGCAGACATAGATAGGTGAAAGTCGAGAGCTCGGGCGACAATTGCATAGTATGAAAGGAAGCTGCATTTAATAATATTGCATTTGTATCACTGTTAAGACTTTGTTTGAAATCTGGGGGGTTGTACATAAGATAGATTTGAAGACGACTATGAGGCAAACAGAAACACCGGCGGTCCTTACCTCAGGAGTTAATCCAATGGTTTAACCGGGTTATACAACAGCAAATTGCGTCTGCTTCGGAAAAAGACATGGTGCCCATAAAATGGCTATTTACCTCGCCGACTATCGCAACTCAAATACAGCTAGAGCGCTGCTATCCGAACACATAGTGTGTAATGCAGAACACAAAAGAGGAACACGTCTGTTTTGCTTCATCACGGAACAAAGAGGTCGCAACACTCTGAGCCTATCTTTGGAACTCATTATACAACACTTTAGTTGACGTGTGGGATTTGAACTACGGCCACATATGCACAGTGACAACCAAGGGTCACAAGTATAAACATATTATGTCTTACTCCTGATAATGCGGTTGGTTTTGTGCTAAGTTTCACACTGCCTTCTTCTGTATGTTTCAATAAGTGATCCCATTCCTTCTTTAGTTCAACGCGGCTAGGAATGCGAACTTGGGGCTCATGTTCAAAGGCATCCATATCAAATTCGTCTTCACTGAGAACGCTTTTGACAAGCCATTCGTTAAGTAGTTCCCGAGCTTCCGTAAGAGCAGCTTTTGCATTAGTAATGTAAGCAAACTTACCAGGATTCTCAGTTATCATCTTGACATGTGCATTCTTGTTGGTATAAAGCTGTTTTAAATCAGAAATTCTCTTCTAAACAATGCAAACTGTGGGTTATATTAGCTCACATGAAACGGTAATCGACTTGGTTGCAAATGTCGTTGAACGTGAAAAAGCGAATTGAACATGTCAAAAACTAGTACTGAAAAGTAGAAAATCAAGTTTTACAGGTTACAAAGTTAACTTCAATTTGCTTTATGACAACGGGGATCAAAATAGCAAGTGGTTAATGCGTGCAAGCTTTAAAAACACTTCTTTTTCAGAGCGGTAAGGATAAAGATTGGAATTTATGGACCCGCTGTTCGGTTGATAAAGGTGGAAAATATTGTGTGTTCTACCATGTGTTTCAATTAGCCATACCGTTTATTAGTTGTCTTACCTTTACCGTTTACTAACATTCCCTAGACTAGTCTTTGAGACAGATTTGCCGCCTCGCCCGAATGTTCATGCATTGTTTCAAGTGATGGAACCAGTGTTTCGTGCTGTTACTGTGCCCACACAACTATTCGGTTACGACTTCGTATCTGTATCTTTTAGACACAACAAGGACCATCGTTCTCCTCGGAGCGACCTAAACTGCATGGCACTGCAGGGTGAGTAAGGCCGCAGCAATCATGCGACACTAGTGTTTATTACAGGTGCTACGTGGAGTATTCTAAAGAGCATGCCGAGGAGCCTCACCTCGTAACCAACTATGATTACCTGTCCGACCTCATTGGTGCAACAAGTTGGTCGTTCCTAGTCGAATGGTTCCCTGAGGCGGCATGCAGAGAATTCGTGAACAGTTTCAACAAGCTAGTGGCAAGCACATCTGAAACTAAAATCCACCGGCCTAAAATGGTGAAGCCTTTTGTAAGCAGCAGAATACGTAAATGTATGGCTTTGAGGGACTTGGCATGGCTCACCTACTAAGCCTCTCCCAGCGAGGACACATGTGATGTCTACGCAACAAAAAAGAACCACTGCGTCAAACTTGTCCGGGAGAAAAAAGTAAAGAACCAGCAAGACTTGGTGAAAAAATTTGTTTTAATCCTAAGATGCGGTAAAGACACGTAAAAAGCTGCGCCGTGTTAAACGCGGAAATCCTGCTCTGTATCCAGCTTGCAGATTAGCGCAAACAGCCCTATAGGCGGCCGACGATCTTGAACAACAGTTTGGCCCTTATTTCCAAAGTGTGTCAACAACTTACATCCTGTCTACGCAGCTGATGCTACCATCACGGCTTAGTCACATATCGTTTACCTCCACAGCTGCACTGAAGTAGCTGACGACCTTGCACAAGTTCAGTTCTATGAGTGCGGAAGGCATGCACCAGTAGGTATTGAGAGTTGCCGCAATGCGTTTAGAGAAACCGCCAGCAATTCTATTTTAACGATTTCTTAACGAGGTGCAGCCGCCATGATGTGGAAGCATGGGATCACCCCTCCAATCTACATGGGTAGTAGCCATGCTAAACCAGCAATTTATCACCCCACAACACTACTTCCGGTGATCTCCAAGATTATGGTGTTCACTGTGGCTGAGGTTTTTAATGGGGTACCTGATGAACAACACGATTTCCGTTCCGGAGCAGCACGGATTTTGCCAAACTCGGCCTTGTACTACTAACTTGTTAAGCACTCGTGCAAGCTGGACGAAATCTGTGGATGTTGATGTAGGAGTCGATGCAGCCTACTTGAATTTCTCGTACATTCGACCGTTTAGACGATCACATGCTACTGCACGCAATTTAAAACTATGGAATGGAGATCCAATTCCAGGTTGGATAGGAAAATTTCTCGTTCAAAGTCACCAGAGTGTTTGCAGTCCCCTATCGGAACCAATGAAAATTAGTGCGGCGTACCTCAGGGCTCGGTACTCGGGCCTTGCTTGTTCCTGATCGTCATAAACGATATCGCGAACGTGCGAGCTTTAAATTGCCTGCAATGTGTCAATGAGCTAAACTTATGGCGCGCCACTGCTATAGTGTAGCATCACACAGCCTTACATGATGATCTGGAGAAAGCTACACATGGTCCATCGAGAACGTGCCTCGTTTGAACACCACCAAGGGCAAAGTTGCCAGCATACGGCGTTGGAAAAATCACGACACCCGCCTAGGACCACAAATACTACAGCGGGTTTCCCATGCGTGCGATCACGGCGTACTTGTTCGAGATGAATTCGGTTGTTTGGGGCAGATTGATAAGGCATCGAAGAAAGTAAACCAGCACTTCAGCCTTCTTCGTAGCGCGTTCAGGAAGTTTAACGTCTACCTCTTTCCAAATATCCTTGGCTCGTACTTGAGGCAGCATACAGAATATGCTGTTCAAGTGCGGCAACCCTGGCTGAAGCACGATCTCACCGTGCTCGATACTACACAACGCTGGGCGAAAACGAACGTCGAAAGGTTTATCCCGCCTTCTCTACCCACCCAGGCTGAAAACCCTCAAAACATACAGATGACGCTATCCGCGTCTAACAGGCGATCTCATAATGGTGTATCAGATCCTAGGCAACCCCAACCACACATGCCACTCCTTTTTATAACTCAGCCAAAATCATTTCTAAGTGGTCAGCAATTTAAGCTGATCACGAAGTATAGCCGACTGGAATGTCGACCAATTTTCCCCCCTCCTAGTATCACAGCCATGGAATGCCTTCCTGGCACATGCAATTAATGCCCCCACCTTATCCCCTTTCGAAAAACGCCTTGAGGATACGCTGTCACGTTTAAACTACGTGATATAGCCCATGACCATTAGGTGGTGGCATTAATGCACAACAAACAGTGCACGGTATCATAACCCTGCTCGTATATGAGTTACGCCAAACCTCTTGTTGAGTCATGTACTGCACACCTTCTTTTACTGGCGCCGTATTTTAGTTTGTATCACGCTAACTATCCTACGGGACATGTCAAGCATTCACTTTTATACCTTTCATAATCCATTGCTCATTTGCTTCATGTATCTTAACGCCAAATACCCAATCCCGACTTGGTAACTCTGGCTAAAGTGTGGATTCATGGATCTCGAGGCCACTCAATGCCGGGCAACGAAAAATGTTAAGGGTTTGAGCCACTTTGCATATCAAGAACGACGGAAAATAGTCGTAGTGTTCATTGTATGCTTCAGGCGGCGTCGCGGGAATCTCTATCGCATGCACAACCACGTTTAAAAACTCAGCCCAAACACTAACCTGAGAAATAATGGCTTAAGGTTACATTATGTAGGTTGCGAACGAAGTTAAATCTTCCTTCAGGTTCGTTGATCCTGAAAGAAGCTTCAAATCTAGGTTGTTTGTGTCTTTAATTTAACTATTCTCGGGAAACTTTTTGATATCGCTAGTGTTAACTGATTAGTTCCCACATCTCATAAGTGCGATAATCCAACCACCAATCCGGATAAGTGTCAGACGAGCATTTCACCCTATTTCGTTTCACCAGTTGTACGCATTCTCTCGGTTCACTGCAGGGAACAACTGACAAGCCCGAATGAGCGAAACGATTATTTGATGTCACTCCGGGTTGTTGCTTAGCGTTTCGCATTTGAGTTGCCGGGACAATCAATTACTTTTTCATGCAAACATCCCCTACGCTTGAGAACTAGCCAGTGGTTTTTATTTCTATGCTTATTGAGCAAAAGCCATTGAACCGTTTTATGTAACGGACGCGGAAGTAAAAGCATACACCGAAATCAAGATTCATGTGCATGCTAAACTAATCTGACGAATACGGATACAGCTGAGTTTAATCCGCTTGAAACAGCAGCTTTCTGTGTCTATTGCGTGAATGATATATTTACTTGCCTAAGGTAATGCACATATGCTGCATTTTATTGTGGAATCAGCAGTCCAGGAAGGAAAGCGGATACAAATTCCCCTACATCACACAACCCTCAACTGATAAAAATAAGGTGTCAGCTGTACGCAGTAACGGTGCTTACCTGCTACGCGACCACCATCAGTCGCGAGCGGGATGAGTATATCGAGAGGACGCCCACTCTACGAGGATTCGAATGTGGACTTAGTGGTTACAAGCCAGGTGCCCAGAACGCTCGGTCCCCGACCGACTTGACTGCGGTTTCTTGGTTACAGGCTCTGCATTCCTGTAAATTTAGCGCAGCAGTCAGCCTAGCTTCCATTCCTACTTCAAGTCTGCGCAATTTCAGTACAGATGTCATTAACCTAAATTGCTTTGTAACAGTTGTCTCTTCACTATATATCACTCAGATACACGGATAGCAAGTTAAGTATATCGTAGCGAACCGGCTGGTTTTCAAGTTTTACTTAGCAGGCTAATACAACCATAAAAAGTAGAATAGATTGGACCTACAAGTTTTAAAAACTGTGAATCACTGAAAAAAATTTGCAACCAAAAGCTTACCATCCATTTTCTTTGAAATTCAGAGAAAATGGTTTTTTTTACATAAAATGGACGATAACTATGGAATTATAATAAAAATTTTGCTTATATGTTTATCAACATGGGATACAAAACATATTCCGACTAGTAATTGCTTGCAAAACTAGAGAAACAAGTACGAAGGCCTCATGAATATTGTAGCCAGTCCGCAGGCGTCACTGTAACACGTTAACAGGTAATTCGATGCGTTTTGCTTCCTGTTAGCCTTACCCTCGTATTCCTCTCCGACACTTCTCCTTCCATCCTCTATGCTTTCTTAGCTGCTTCGTTATATCGGCCTCTTTCTAGGCAGTTGAGCATCCATCCGTCTACGAATTATTTATTTTTGTTGTACCTCTAAGGTTCTTATATTTCCCGTCGTACTATTGAAACAGGGAAGAGCTTCGAACGCAGGACCAGAAGAATATTACATCATCATATTAAAAGCTAGTTGTGGATCAGCACATGGTATTTTCGAGTCAAGGTCGATAAGACTAAAGTGTTAACGGGACACCGGAGCAAACACGTTAGGTAAAGACGAAATGAGGGCGTTGTGCGCCTGGGTACAACACATTAATGTCTAATGATCAGTCAATGAATATTTGATCGGTAGTTATACAACTCATTAAAGTAATTAGGGTAGACAGGCATTTCTATATTCGCATTCATTATTAGTAATGCATATTTTCGTCAAAATTATTTCCACCTGAACTACTGCTGCTTAATTATCATTCATTCGTAGACTGCACACACGAGGCA